TGGTAAAAAAAAAAAAAAAAAACAATGACCAAAAGCACTTGAGGAGGAGCAGGGTTATTTGTGTTACATCCTTGTCAGAGTTGGTCAGTAAAGAAGTCAGGGCAGGAACAGAGGCTCTGAAGGAACTCTGCTTACTGGTTTGCTTGGGAGCCTGTTTGTGCAAACGTTTCCTGTTCATTAAAGCCTCTTGCGTGTTGCAGCAACTGGACTGGACATTGAGTTCTTGGGAGACTCCTTATTCTGAGGCTATTACATCCAGACCTCCAAGTCTAAGCAAGCATCCTCTCTGGGCCACCAGCACCTACTGACAACCCATGTCTGAACTCTTGCATTAGTGTTGAGTGCCTCTCAGTACCCGTCCAGGTACTGAAAAATAAAGGACCACAAAAGAAAAATATGAGGCTAAAAATTTTAAAGGGCTAATAAAATCATATGCTAAATATACAAAGCCAATTCAGTCATCCTGGAAATTCTTCATTAGATGGGTTACTTTAGAACTTAAAGCTAGCCAGTATAAACTTGCACACTAGTGGTGCAGTGGTGGCACACACCTTTAATCCCAGCACTTGGGAGACAGAGGCAGGTGGATCTCTGAGTTCAAGCATGGTCTACAGACTGAGTCCCAGGATAGGCAGGGCTACACAGAGAAACCCTGCTTCAAAAAACAAAATGTTCTTAAAATTCTATAAAACCTAACAATTAAAAACTTAAAGACTACACATTATTCTATTAAAGACTAGGTATTCTTATGTTCAGGAAGCAGTCTCCTAACCAATTTGTTCAAGGGTACCTCCCACTTTCTCTTCTAAGAGGTTCAGTGTGGCTGGATTTATGTTGAGGTCTTTGATCCATTTGGACTTGAGTTTCATGCGTGGCAATAGACATGGTCAATCTGCAGTCTTCTACACACCCTCATCCAATTGTGCCAGCACCATTTGTTGAAAATGCTTTCCTCCCGTCATTGTATACTTTTAGCTGTTTTGTCAAAAATCCAGTGTTCGTAGGTGTGTGGGTTAATATCAGCATTTTCGATTCGATTCCATTGGTCTACCTGTCTGTTTTAGTGTCAATATCGGCTGTTTTTAGGACTATAGCTCTGTAGGAGAGCTTAAAATCAGGGATGGTGATGCCTCCTCAAGTTCTTTTATTGTACAGGATAGTTTCAGCTATCCTAGGTCTTTTGTCTGAGATCAACAATTAATAAATGGGACCTCCTCAAATTTAGAAGGTTCTGTCAGGCAAAGGACACAGTTGACAAGGCCAAACGGCAGCCCACAGACTGGGAAAACATTTTCACCAATTATACATCTGACAAAGGGCTGATCTCCAAAATATACATAGAACTCAAGAAACTAGTCAACAAAACACCAAATAACCCTATTAAAAAATGGGGCACAGAACTGAATAGAGAATTCTCAATAGAGGAAATCAAAAAGGCTGAAAGACACCTAAGAAAGTGCTCACCATCTTAGCTATCAGGGAAATGCAAATCAAGACAACTTTGAGATACCATCTTACTCCTGCCAGAATGGCTAAAATTAGAAACACCAATGACAACTTATGCTGGGGAGGATGTGGAGAAAGGGGAACACTCCTCCACTGCTGGTGGAAGTGCAAACTCGCACAGCCATTTTGGAGATCAGCATGGCGGTTCCTCAGGAAAATGGGAATCAGTTTACCACAGGACCCGGCAATCCCCCTCTTAGGCAAATACCCAAATGATCCACATCCATGCAACAAAGACATCTGTTCAACTATGTTCATAGCAGCACTATTTGTAATAGCAAGAACCTGGAAGCAACCTAGATGCCCCTCAATTGAAGAATGGATAAAGAAGATTTGGCACATCTACACAATGGAATACTACTCTGCAGAAAAAAAACAATGGAATCTTGAAATTCGCAGGCAAGTGGATGGCACTTGAAGAAACCATCCTGAATGAAGTAACCCAGTCACAAAAAGAGGAACATGGTTGTAGTGGGATATTCACTTTGTCTCCTTCTGTGACACCGACCACGTCCACTGGGGGTGGAGTCTGAGGAGGGGGGATGAGGAGGGAGGGGGGAGGGGGGCGACACCCTCTCTTGTTGGCAGCATGGGGACAGGAGCACTTCCTGAGGCATCCTCGGGAGCAGGAACCTGCTGATGTTCACCTGTCTATGTCGTGAGTTATTTCTCCCTGAATAAACATCTGTTCGGCCTAATTGTTTATCCAGATCCTTAATAAACATCAATATCTGGTGTCAGAAGTTGGTGCCATATTGTTACGAGTAAGGTTTTTCTGCCAGCCTGGACCCACCACGGCGCCAGCCCCAATTAACACACAGAGACTCTGTATTAAATATAATGCTGTTGGCCAGTTACTAGTTTCTTATCGGCTAGCTCTGTCTTAATTATTAACCCATTTCTATTAATCTAAGTATTTCCACGTGGTCTCATTTTACCAGAGAGGAGCTGGCATCCTGCTCTCTCCAGACTCTCCATGCTGACCCTCCTTACTACTTCCTCTCTCCTCGTCTCCTAGTCCCACCTATCTTGCTTTCCTATTGGCCAACAGTGCTTTATTCATTAACCAATAAGAGAAACATATTTGCAGAATGACATCTCCCATCACATCGTATGTACTCGCTCATATATGGATTTTATTTAGACCTAGAGCAAAGGATCACCAGCCTATAATTCACATCGCAGAGGAACTAGCATACAAGGAGGATTCTAAGAGATTCATATAAGGTCCCTCACAGAAGGGGGAAGGGACAAGTTCTCCAGAGCACAGGGGGAGTGGGGAGGGCAGTGAGTGGAGAGGGGACTAGGAGAAAGAGAAGGGGAGGAGTGGAAAGCACGTGGGACTAGGAAGATTGAGTCAGGGGAGGAATAGATGAGATAGAGAGAGAGAGAGAGAAAGAGAAAGAGAGAGAGAGAGAGAGAGAGAGAGAGATACCAATGAAGATGGAGCCATTATAGGGTTGAAGAGAAAACTGAACCTAAAGAAATGTCCAGAGACCTACAAGACTGACCCCAACTAACAATTTGAGCAACAGTGGAAAGGCTACCATAAATGCCCTTCCCTGATAATTAGATCAACAACTAACTTATCCACCATCATGGAGCCCTCATCTAGTACCTGTTGGAAACAGAAGCAAACACCCACAACTAAACACTGAGTAGAACTGGAATCCAGATGCAGAGGGAGAGGACAAGACCAGGTTGCAGAAACACATAGAGACAGCTGACCTGAACAAGGAGGAGCTAACAGGCTCCTCCCAGACTGATAGCTGGGAATCCAGCATAGGACTGACTCAGGCCTCCCTGAATATGGGTCTCAGCTAGAAGGCCTGAGCAGTCTAAGGGACCTCAGACAGTGGAACCAGGATGTATTCCTGGTGCACAAAAGGACCTTGCGGGCACATCCCCCATGGAGGGATAATCAATCCCTTAACCTAGAGGCAGGAGAGAAGTCCTTGTTCCTACTACAAATGACTTGACAGATTTAGATGATCCCTCCTGGATGGCATCACCCTACCTGTGGAGTGGGGAGTGGGTGGGAGAGGAGGGTGGTCAGGGTGCATGTGAGGGAGGGAGGGAGAGGAAACTGGGATAGATATGTAAAAAAAAAAAAAAGTAGGTATTGTTCTATTTCTATAGCTTTCCCCCTTTATCACCATTTATCACTTCCTTCCTCTAGCTCCTTACATGAATTTTCCTTCAAACTAAATTCTGTATTCATCTCTTCCCTTTGTCCTATCCTTTCAACTCCTTGTCTTCTTTCTCTTCCTCCAATCTAACAAAAACCACAATACCGTATCTATCACCGTATCTATCATCTGTTACTAATTTTGTCCAAACAAAGGACATATAAAAAGCAGTAATGGTGATGGTATCACTAACCACCCATGTACCAAACCCTATGTGCCAGTCTGCCAGAGCAAGCTCATAGCCCTAAATGGCCAATGGGAACCACGATGAGTTTGACGGCATTGTATAAGCAGGTCCACAGGCTCTGGCACCTGCTGGGGGAAACAGAAAGGAGCCAAAGTAGTCAGCTAGATCAGGTTCTCCAACTTGTGCCTGCCATTCCAGACACAGGAAAAACAGGAAGCTGTCATCTCGCTGCACAGCTGTCGTCGTAACTAATGACTTTGAAAGCATGAGCAGCAATGGCCAAGGCATCAACTCTGGGACACCAGAACAGGGCGGGTTCCATAGGAACTTTTAAACTCATGCTCACTACAGAAGAGACTCTGAGAAGCAGAGCCATTCTTGAAGGAAAACTGTAAGGACTTAAACTAGGCTGGCGGGGAGAACAGTGCTTGCAGCAATAGCTGGAAGAAAACCCAGTCATTAAAAGTATTTTCAAATCTGCCCAGCACGAAGTGGTTCAGCAGGAGCAGTACTTGGGGAATTTATAACCAAGGAAGTTGAAATCTGAATAGGTTACACTCAGCAATCACCTAACGGTGAAAGGCAACACTGCAGAGCAGCGGATCCCCACCTCAACACTGCAGAGCAGCAGTTCCAACCTCAACACTGCAGAGCAGCAGTTCCCAACCTCAACACTGAAGAGCAGCAGATCCCCACCTCGACACTGCAGAGCAGCAATTCCAACCACAACACTGAAGAGCAGCAATTTCCAACCTCAACACTGCAGAGCAGCAATTCCCAACCTCAACACTGCAGAGCAGCGGTTCCAACCTCAACATTGCAGAGCAGCGGTTCCCAACCTTCCTAATGCAGCAGCCCCTTAATACAGTCCCTCATGTTGTGGTGACGCCCAACCATAAAATTATCTTGTTGATATTTCACAACTAATTTTGCTACTGTTATGAATCATAATGTAAGTATCTGATATGCAACCCCCAAAGGGGTGGCCACCCACGGGTTGAGAACCGCTGCCTTAAAACATCACAAATTTGAGCCAATGAAGGGGAAAGTAGCGGGGTGTAGGGCTTTAAATAATCAACTTAAGTCAAAGCAAGGCAGGTGGAGCTTTACTCTCTTACCCGGATCCAGGAGTTAAGTTGCGATTCTCCAGGGGTCCGTGGTTCTTTGTTCATCAAACAACATAAGCACCATATCAGAAATTTTTGGCTTTCATCTGCAGAAAATAAAACTAAAATGAGTAGATTGTATCAAATAGGGAAAACCCTTAAGAACATGCTTTGGAAAACCTCAAAGCACCAAGCTCGGCTTTGGCTTTACTTCTTGTGGGTTCAGCTCACTGTCCAGCTCTTGTGTGGTAAACTCTTTTCTGAAACAGCAGCAGTTTTCAAAGCCAAATAAGAATGACGGAAAGGGCTGGGCTCTTCAAGATGTTTCTAATTTCACATTTCAAACATCAGTAATTTCAGTCTTTTTAAAGCACAATAACTACTATCTGTTTCTGTTGGTCAAATCTGTTCCGGGTAGAAACTTACAGCACAACTAGTAAACAAACATTAAAGCCGTACTGAAGCTGTAAGGATACAAGCTACATGGTAATGCAGACCCTGCGAGAGAGAGAGAGAAAACAGACATAACCCAAGTAAGGCAGACCCTTTGATGGAGAGACACAGACATACCCAGTCCCTGCAGCATCCTCAAAGACACCCAGAGTTCACCTTCCAGCCTCCTGCAGCTAACAGTGCTGCCAATGGCTTTGCTATCAAAAGCTCAAGGACAGGACAAACTACAGTAAATCTCTTCTACATTTGCTGAGCACACCCGTTCCCTCATGATTTTTAGGCTTATTTTTCCTCCAGTGACAATCATTAAACTTATGCTTTCACAGGTAACTAATAACTGAATAAACACGACAGGGTCATTCTGAGCAACATTCATTTCTTTTCCTATAAGATTAAATAAAGCAGCAGGAGGTAGGTACAGTCTTACCTGACACACATTAATTTCTAGACTTGTAACTTTCAAGTAATTCTTTAGGCCAAACCGATACCTCTGAGTGAAAGGTGACTGCTGTGCATGACCCGGTGTAAATACTAATTCACGGAATCCCAATAATACGCTTTACTATGGAGTAAAGGATGATATGATGGACTAGGAAGCAATTTCAAACAGGGAGGGAGGAAAATGTTGTTTACAGAGCTTAAAACACCAAGGAATCAAAAGAGGGATGCCCCCCTCCAGGGTGCAGAGTAATTCTATACAACAGTTCAAGTGTGTATTTTTCTCTCATAAGTAGGAAAAAAAAGATCTAAGGACATCCTCCCAATCTCTGCTCAGAAGAGCTATGGCAGACGGTTCACAGATATAAATAAGCCACTGCTGGCTACGTGAGGGCCACGAGTACTCCATTCAGGGAATGGCATCAGGGAGCTTCCTCCCCGGAGGCCAAAGGCTGGGACTGGGCATTCCGTATCACTGCACTTCAGCGGTAACAGGAAACCGCCTAGGATCCACTGGAACTCACCAGCACATCTCGGCAGAAGTTAGAATTCTAACCATGAGTGAAAGGAAAATGAAATGTCCCACCACGCCTAATACTTCACGTTCTGGCCTCTTGAAACTCCAAGAGAAGGCTGCACTCTATACACTTTAACCCTTGGTTTACAGGGACAAAACAGCAACTTTCTGATGACAAAGATTATTTCAAGCTGCTAGGCTGTGGTTACTGTTACAGGAAGATGTTCAAAGTGAGGATGGGGGTGGGGGAGGGGGTCTTGTTCTCAGCCTGAATCTGCCTCGCATTACAGGAGAGGCGGTGTGTGCGTGCACAGAGCAGCGTCACTGAGGAGGTCACCCTTCATCTCCAGGTCCTTCCTCTTTCCTCACCCTGACCCAATGACTCTTCCATTAAGCAGATATGTACTTTATGCCTCAAGGTGTGGGTTCTGACTTTGCTGTTAGGTTGTTCGGGGTCTGTTTTCCTTTGGTTATCTTGAGGGTCACGGGGTCTTACCATGCAGCCCAGGCTGCTCACCGCAGCACCCCAAGTATACTTTTACTGTCCTGTTAACTGCAATCCCCTCAACAGTCACGGTCATGGCACGCCAGGAGCCAGGAAGCCAGAGTAAGCTGTTAATACTTAAAACAGCATGGTGACTCTGAACTGCATGGACAAATAAAGCCTTGCATGGATGCACTTAACTGTGCACATGTGCATCCTGTCTATGCAGGTGTATGTGTGCACATCTGTGTGTTATACTTAAATACACACAGGTATGTACACAAGTGTAGTTCTACTCAAAGATACTCAGAAACCGGCCTGGCTACACAGTATATAAACTCGGAAGAGCACACAGTGGCTTTGGAAGGTTAAAAAAAAAAAAAAAAAAAAAAAAAAAAAACCCAGCTCTGGCTCACTAGCTTTCCATTTAAAATCAACAACTTGACTGGGAGGGAAGAGGAAGACAAAGAACAGGAAGGCACAGAGACACAAAGGTGGGAGCACAGGTGTGTGCTCAGAGACCCCAGGGCCCCCCCCCCACACACAGCTCTCACAGGATAGGTGAGAATCACGCACTTCTTCCAAACACTAAAGGAAAATGGAACCTTTGTTTCGTTCTCACGCCATGTTACTATGTAATTAGTGTTAGACCTTGGGCGGCTCCTGTACAGACCGGCTCTTGGGCAGCCTCTACCAGGCTTGAGGACCACAAAGAGAACTAACCCTGCTCCTGGGCAGGGCCTCAGGCAGCAGAAGAAGTGCTATGGAAAGGAAGGTGCTGGAGGCCATAGGGATATGAAGAGACCCCAACCCAGCCTCGGCACGCCTGCTTCCAGGAGGTCTAGGAGGCAAAGGGGATGGAATGCAGAACACAGACCACACTGGCCTTCAGACGGCTGGCAACAGTGCCACCGCAATGGCATGGCGTGCTACACCAGAGGAATAGGAAGCTGAGAGCAAGACCAGATAGGTGCAAGTCAAGAACCACTGCCCCTACAGAATCTCCAAATCCCCTCAACCTTGGATCTGTGAAACGATTACCTATGTATCATTAGCATCAAGTCTAACTGTGGAGAATTTAAAACGAAGTGGTGAACGTGATTAGAGACAAAAGCCGGTGTTTAAATCATGAAGTGTTTCCTCCCTACTGTACAATTCCACGTGCAAGAGTCTGCTTGTGCATGTGTGTCTGTCAGCCTGGAACACACGGAAGCCCAGGAAGGGGCACACACATGGTGAGCCACCCCATGGGAACATGAGAAGAGGTTACAATTTACACCCTGGGCTTTGCTGGAGTACAGAGAGTGAAACTGTCATTAGGTGTCTGTGCGTTGAGGCTCTTACCATACGCTAAGATGAGAGGATTCCAACAAGTCTTTGCCAACAGTTGACCAATTGTGGGGAACATTTCCAGGATTGCATTAGAATCCTGTAAAAACAACAACCACATGTTTTGATAGTTAAAATGCACTATGCAACCCAACTGAGCAACAAAATTCCTCAGGGGAGCCTGAGTGCTCCTGTATATCTTATTTTAGAAAGTGCACAGGGAGAAATTAGAGAAAGGCTCTAAGTAAGAAATCAAAGCTTAATTTGTACTTCATCCCTAGAAACTCCATATGGCACAGTTAGGTCATTTCAATTTTGTCAGAAAATTTACTGTGTTTTACCCACATTTAATAATCAGAAAAGACTATTTCTTTGTTGTCATTTGAGACAGGGTCTCCTACATAGTCCTGGCTGTTCTGGACTCACATGCTGGCCTAAACCTCACAGAGATCTGCCTGACTGTGCCTCCCAAGTGTTGGGATTGCCCAACTAGGGAAGACTATGTCACTTAACACAGCACTCTGTGCAAGAGAGCAGCACTGGCAATTAACAACCATGTAACCCTATATCTTAGAAATACAAATTTTATTTAGTATAAGAAAGACTCCTCATTTAGCTCTTCGAGGGTTTAACAAAATGAGAACTCTAACTTCTAAAGGAAGGAAAGTGGCTGAGGCATGAAGTTTTGTATCTTCATGTGTTACAGCCATGATTACTACACGCTAAGTGACATCATATTACATACAACCTCTGAGATGATAAAAAAAAATATTCACCAAACAGGAAACAGCTTAGAAACAAACAAAAGTGCAGTGTTGCAGCACAACCAGGTCATTCCCCTCTCTTCTACCGTCCACAATGTTCAGAAGAAGAGCACGCAAGCTCATGTGCAGGGAAGCCAAAACACCTAACGGAGGGGACATTGCCGGTACCCAGGCAGGCAGTGAAATCTCCATTCAGATTGATTTTTTGTCAGCCTGGACCAGATCTGGGGAGTCTGATGCCAGGCTATCTGTGTTAGCATATTTAAAACAGTACAATTTGGGGAACAGTTTCCAGGAAATAACCATTCCCATTCCAAGTTTCCGGATGACAACCATTCGAATTCCAGGTGCACAATGAAGTGTGACTACTTAGAAACTCCTTTACAAAGACACGTGACCACGAGGGTGGGCTCTTTGACCAAGACAGCATAGATGTCACAGGGCCATAAAGCCCTGTTAACTGAGAGCCAAGGAGGGGGAGTCTGGCATAAGCATTCTGATGAGCTCTGGCTACACGGTAAAAGACGGGCAACGTTTGTCACCACAGTTAGCCATAAGGTCAACAGATCATTAACAATACCCACTTCCAGGTCTCTACTCAGGAAAGCAGGCATTCTGTCTCCTGCACCGAGGGGAGGCTCCTGCATGTTTAACACCCCTGATTTCCTTAATGCTCCATGGGCACAAGGACCTCTGTGTCCCTTACAACCCCGTGATACAGCAGTTAGTTCCTCACCATGGTCCCAGTGCCAGGGCTGGGCCAGGACTTTCTGAGACCACATTAAGGTCAGGTTACAGAAGTCTTACTTAAAAATAAATAAGCAAAAAAGTTTCAAAATTAGTACCACTTGTTCCACATAGCCTTTCCTTCTAATTTCTAAAGACATATGAACTCGTTATCACAAAATAACATACAGAACTCATCTACAGAATAATCTATAGAAATGTGTTCTTCAAATTTCTCATTTGCTTCTTTGATGAACAAAGCATTACATAAAAGTACATATGTTAACAATTACTTTCATTTCATATTTAAAAATAAAATATTAAAAAAACTTATGAAACACTTTATAGCATGAAAACATGGCCCTCGGCTGGAAAGCGGTAGCCCACACCTTTAACTCCAGTACTCAGGAGGCAGAGGCAGGTGGATCTCTGTGAGTTCGAAGACAGTCTGGTCTACACAGCAAGTACCAGGACAGCCACAGCTACACAGAGAAACCCTATCTCAAAAAAGAAACAAACAAAAACATCTAACACAGTAAACATAAGCAATTTAATGTCAATAGGGAGATAAATGGGAATATAAACAACAAATTATGTAAGATACTCAAAACTTTTTTTGAAAGGGCCTCTTAAAATGTTTGTTAGAGGAGATCTTACCATCTCAGCAGTGAGGCATCAACACTTAGTATCTCTTAGCAGCACCTCCTTGAAAGCAGAGCTGAGGGAAAGGCAAACAGCCCAACAAACCCTGGAGAGTTTGAGGAACACAAGAACAAACCCCACTTGCTACCTACAAAAAGAATCCAAGCCCTGTAATCTAAAAACAACTTGCTTGGGTTTAGGGTAGTTTTATGATAGGCTTGCCTAACATGTGGAAGGCCCTGGGCTCAATTCCAAACACTGCAGGAATGAATGGATGGATTATTAGTTAATTAATATAAAGAGCTTTCTTGGCCAGGCAGCCTCAGAAGGTATGAAAACAGCTCTTGTTTGCAGCACCTGCCAATAATCTATCTAAGTCCAGTCAAGTCAGTCACACAAGTTCCTAACTACTCTAAGGAGCATTCTTGCTTGAGGAGTCCCTAATGTCACAGGACACTTACCATCTCTTTCAAGGTCTCATACATCTGCTTCAGGAACTCCTGGAACCGGAACAGGTGAAGACAGGTGTCCTGCTGGGTTTCCTTACAGGAGGCCTGTTCCCAGACAGAAAGCTTCTGCAGCCAAAACTGATAGTCCGAAGCAAGTTCTGCAGAATCCCGAGCCATCTCTAGGGAGAGAACGGTGACGTCCCTTCGCGGCGGCCTGCCAAGCAGCACAGGAAATGGTGAGCATGCTTCAGGTCTTCGGAGAGGGGACAGATGGAACATTTAGGACAGACTCCTCTGTCAGCACACTCACAAGCCACTGAGGGAGAAGGTGGACGAGAAGAGATGAGCACAGCCTGCTAGGGATGCTGGAATCCTCTCTGAGTCATTTGAAATGTGTCATCCAGTTGTAGTTCAGATTTTAACATCTGAACTTTTACCATGAGTAGTATCATTACCAAAGTCATTACACTTCCACAGTAACACACTAATTACGGACAAAAAGCACAGCTGATAACACTCTACATCTCCTTAACATTGAGCTATTTTTAAATGCCTTGAATGTGAAGTCCTTTTGTGTATTCTAAGGATGAGAAATCAGAAGCATCCGAGGGTGTTAACCAACAGTCTGTGCCTGAGAAATGCTTCTGATACCCTGATGCCGTGTGCGCGCGCCTGGCTTCTCACTGAGGTGAAACGAACTTGATACATTACTAGCTAATGAATTTCCTCCCGGGTTCCTCTTCACCTCACAAGAAAAAAAGGTAAAGTAACAATATTCCTCATGCATCGCTTTAAGCAATCTGCTTAATTAAATATTGATCTAGGGAGCCTGGTGCTGCTCAGTGGGTAGTGTAAGCTGTGCAGCCAAGGACAAGGCTCCTGACACATGTCTGTGCCTCTAGACAGATCTTAGAGCTCATTGGCTAACTAACCTACCCAGTGGGTGGACACCAAGTTCAGTGAGAGACCCTGTTTTAAAAAGCCAACGCACCCAGGTCCCTGCAACAGGCTTCCTGCCAATCTGTGGATCTAGACATCCTTAAACACCTATGTGACCTATAGTTTGGCAGCAATGATAAGAGTAAAAATGTTTGTGGCCCACCAAATTGGGCTATAGAGATGGGAACATAGAGATAGTTCATTAAAAAAACAAAAACCAATGCACCCTCAGTGCATACACAACATGAATACAAATAAGTTAATAAAAGGTAAAAATAAAGTTTTAAAACCACTGCTTTACATGCAAAAATCCATCCACAAGAAGCCACAATTTCATTTCTACTAGGTGGTGAACTCATTAAAGGACAAAAAAATAAATCTCCTAAGTCTGACTTCCTGACTCAGAAATAAATGTAAAAAATACAATGGAAGTAAACAGGCATCCTGTGCCTGGCAGAGGGGTGGATGCTAGGCCAGTGGATACCAGAGGCCCCTCCAACCCACCCTCCAATCCAGTGCCTAATGCCCCTGTGGAGAAGGGCAATTCCTCTCAGACTCCTGCGCTTCCCTGGGACAGGGTGGCATGCAGAGGACTGCCTCAAGGGACTGTAGTCACAACAGTAAAGGCTGAGTTCAAACCTCAGCATCAGTGAGTAATATAAAATGCTTCTACTAGGTGCCAACCCTCAAAGGACGATGGCACCTCTTCCTAAGCAGGACAACAGAAGACACTGACGGTTACAGCTCAATCAGAGAGCTGGACAGGGAGATGGCAGTTTCCAAGCAGCATTTTACAGTTCTGAGGACTCGACCAAAGTGGCAACCAACAGAAGGCTCACTAATTAACACATGCACACTAGCACACTTAAAAGCCAGAGGTCTGTAAGCCCCTCAAGGTGGGAGTGGCCATGCCCAGCCCAGATTACACTAATGGCTGTTTCCAGCCCCTCAAGACACAGGCAGCCAAGCTCTGCCCTACAGAGGGGAAAGAAAAGCCCAAGATCAGGCCCCAGGCCACCCTGGAAAGCTCCGTCTCACACCAAGAAACAATATAGAAAGCCCGCCCCTGGCTCAGTTCTTTGCTGTCTCTCACCAGAGCGGAGGCAGCCTCCCTTTTCATCTTCCCCAAAAAACCTCCCGTGAGGTTGATGTTCAGTGTGACTCTGTGGTGGTGTGCAGTTCCTTCAGGGCACAGGGATTGGGGAAGCCTTTCCCCCAGAGCTGTAACACACTTTTGCCTCCCCTCCCCCCACCGTCCCCATGGAAACCACCTACAAACCTCTGCCTACAAAATAACGTGGGGCTTCATGACTTCCTGCCATCTCCCTCCTGGACTGTCACAAATATCTGCAGGTCCCATCCACTCCTCTACAACCCATTCTAAATAAATAAATAAATAAATAAATAAATAAATAAATAAATAAAGACAACTTTTGTATGTATGAATCCTACCCAATACACAATCCTTTTTCAGAGCTTCTTTGGAAAGAAATCCAGCTCAGCTAAGTAAAAAAAAAAAAAGAGAGAGAAAGAAAAGAAAGGGGGGGAGGGAAGGGAAAGGAAAGGAAAGGGAAAAGGGAAGAGAAAGGAAGGAAAAAGAGGAAGGAAGGGAAGGGAAAGAGGAAGGGAGGGAGGGAAGAAAGGGAAGGAGGGAGGGAAGGAGGGAGGGAGAAAGGAAGGGAAGGAGGGGGAAGAGAAGGAGGGAGGGAAGGAAAGAGGGAGAGGGGGAGGGGGAGGAAGGGGGAGGGAGGGGGAGGGAGAGAAAGGTGGGATTGAGGGGGAATGGAGGAGGGAGGGGAGGGGGAAGGAGGAGGGAGAGAGGGAAAGAGGAAGGAGGGGGAGAGAAGAGGGAGAGGGGGAGGGGGAGGAAGGGGGAGGGGAGGGGAGGAGAGAGGAGGGAGGGGGACGGAGGGGAGGGGGATGGAGGGAGGGGAGGGGATTGGGAGGGAAGGAAGGAGGGGGAGGGAAGGAAGGAGGGGAGGGGGAGGGGAGGGGAGGGAAGGGGGAGGGAGGGAGGGGAGGGGATTGGGAGGGAAGGAAGGAGGGGGAGGGGAGGAAGGAGGGGGAGGGGAGGGGGAGGGAGGGAGACGCACCAACTCTGAGCACGGCACTCTCAAGCCTCCCTTTCTTCTGCTCCCCAGCACCGCACACAACCAGGCCAGGTTTCACAGACTCTGGAATATAACTAACCCCTCCATGCTTCTTCCCCTTATGGCTTATGAGTGTTAAATTCTCTTGAGCACTTATTCATTCACTCAGTTACAGATTGCTTTACTGGTAAGTCATTCTGCCTTCCTAGAACCTAACATGGCTGACACTCAACAGATAGCAAATGAACAAACAACGACTCTTTGGTAGTTTCCAAAGTACAGTTCTAAGCTACATGTCACAGTAAAATTGCTTCTCCAAATAACTTAGTTTTTAAAATATAAAACAAGACCTCCAAAAATGAAAATATCAAACAATTTTTAAATCTGGATGAAGTAAACATTCACATGCACGCACTCACCGCGCTCACACACGTGAACTAAACCCTCAATGTAACTCTTGGGAGATTGGAATTAACAGAGGCACAAAGAGATTATTATATCATTACCCAAAGTCAGATCATGTAAAATCCCAGAGGAAAAGATTGCTAGGAAAGGATAGAGGCAAACTGAGATCTCAACCCAGAGTCAGCTCTGAACTTTGCACCTTACATGATGGGGGATGTAGAGACAGAAACTTCCGTCACGCTTATGTATTAATCAGGGCTCTCTAGAGGAACCGAACTTACAGAATGAATGTGTGTGTGTGTGTGTGTGTGTGTGTGTGTTACGGAATGAACATGTGTGTGTGTGTGTGTGTGTTACGGAATGAACGTGTGTGTGTGTGTGTATGTGTGTGTTACAGAATGAACGTGTGTGTGTGTGTGTGTGTGTTACGGAATGAACGTGTGTGTGTGTGTTACGGAATGAATGTGTGTGTGTGTGTGTGTGTGTGTGTGTCTAATGCCAATGAAGGAGGGGACTTGCCAGGGAGAGTGAAAGCAAGCAGGCAGAGAGCAAGCTTCCTTCTTCCATGTCCTGGGGGCTGGCCCCTAGACTCTCCCTCCTCCTCTGGCTACCTCTCCCTTTCTCCCAGGTTTTTCCTTCTGAATATTCCCTCTGCCTCCAGCCCTGCCTATCCTTTCTTCTGCCTTGCTATTGGCCGTTTAGTTCTTTATGAGGCGTTTTAGACAGGCAAAGTAACACAGCTTTACAGAGTTAAACAAATGCAGCATAAACAAAAGTGACACACCTTAAAACAATATTAGCTGGAGCTAATTCAGAATGCAGTCACACTGACAACCGAGAGCAGCCATCACACCCTGCATAAGACAAGAAAAGACAACATAATCATTTTTGTGTAAATTCCACATGGCAAGGGGAGTATACCACTGTAAATCTCTGAAAAGGTAAATCAGAAAAATTTTTACAGAATCAAGGAACAAAAACACTTTTATCTTCAAAAAACTGAAACTTGTGTTTTGACATGGAAAGTTGCACAGGTTGGAGGGAGAATCCCCGACCTCACAGTATACAGAACTGTAACATGAATCATATAAACCCAGACACAGATATTGGGGTTCAAGCTGAAGATCAGAGAAGCAAAGCAGCCGGCCACTAGCTTTTACCTCTACCTCGGATGAAACAGTGACCCTGGCTCCACGAATCCTCAGACTGTAATCCTACGATGGCCATGCTCTCTTCGACGCGGCTGAAGACTAATTCTCTGAAACTGAGTGCCCTGCTCCTGTCTTATATACCTCTCTAGAGCTGGGATTAAAGGCGTGGCATCCCAAGTGCTGGGATCTCCTTTGAGTCAGCTGTTTCTCTTTTACACTGATTCGCTCTCATTTAGCCCTGATTGGCCTTGAACTCACAGAGATCCATCTGCCTTTATCTCCTAGGTCCTGGGATTAAAAGTGTATGCCACCACAGCCCAGTTTCTATGGCTAACTAGTACGGATGCATCACCACTGCCCAGCTCCATGGCCGTGGCTCTCCAGCGGCTTTATTAAATCATAAATAATATATCACCACCAAGAACACTGCAAAGTCGCCAGGGGTTGTTACAAGCACTTTCCCTGGTCCCAGAGCCACATCGTCAGCCCCAAAATAACACAGAGAGACTCTATTATTAGTAAAGCTATTGGCCCATGGCTAGAGCTTCTTATTGGTTAAATCTGTCTTAAATATTAACCCATAATTACTAATATATGTATTAGTATATGGTCTTATCTTACGG